AACCTTTGACATCATCGCTGGCTTAGAGTTTTCCTCCTCCTCTGACATTTGGGAAAACTTAAGCAAAGAAGGAAAAACTATACAGAGGGTGAGTGAGCGACCTGCCTTGACCTGCCTTTCATGTTGCCTTGAACTTCCGCCCCGAGGGGCACCCGTCTAATGAGCTTTGGATTGTCGCCCCACATTATTGTGTGCAAACTGATAGAGGATGCTGTGGGCGAAACAATTGAGCTTGCTAAACCTCTAAACGAAGAGCAAGGGAGCAGCTTCCGGTCTCAATTCAATTTATGCATTTGCTGCCCATAAAAATCCGCGCGTTAAGCAAAAGTTTTTGGCACAAACTTTACGACTTTGGCCTTGAGGATGAGGATGAGGTGGCCCCAGACAGAGAGTGAAAAATCGCTGGCAAAATGTAATCCAGCAGGCGCCCCAAAAGATATATAAATAACCAAGCCGCTGCCTGCTGCCATGCCACCGGGTAAAGGTTGAAATGGAGAAATGTCGACTGGAGGCGCGCCCTTGAATGCAGTTACTTTTTGGCCAGTTCGAGGATTGCGTATAGGTAATGTTGGTGCGAGGAATAGAGCAACAGTGTTACAGTGTTACAGCACAGCAGCAGGCGAGAGTGAAAGTGGGTCTAAAGAGCTTTGGCTCTGGGCAATTGGCCAAATCACAGACCCAGATATCCCCCCTACAGAACTGGGCCAATGGGAAATGCCACAGAAACTAATCCCAGCAATCCTATTGTGTCCCGTTTCTGGCATACTCGTAATGCAGATTGCAATTAAAGAGGGATTATATTCATGGCACACCCCACCCTTCTTATGGGTATTACATTTCATATTAATGCGAGTCAGTGCCACACACAGATAGCGAGTGGTGGGCGTTGCAGACGACTCTGTTGCATGTTGGCATTTTTACAAAATTAACTGCTTTTATCTAGTTTTACTTTTTATTTTTGTTTGGCAAACGTACGGTACTGCACGTCTGTGTATGTGACAACCCATTAATTTAGTGGAAATGTTTTCCATGTCATTGGAGCCAGAAAAACACACACACCAGCACAAGGCTGAGAGAGAAAAACCGGTAGCTGGTAAATGCCTGTTACTAAATTACGGCTCGGTTGGCATGTGTTTAAGTATGTGTTTGTGTGTGTTTGGTATAGCCATTAATTAGTGACCAAGCCAAAGGATATAAAGATATTTAAGTGATAGTTTGTTCTCTATAATTATATAAGTGCTTTTTGGGGCGCAAGTGAAATTTATTCGCTGGCTTTAAAGGTGATTTATCTGTGTTGAAATATTGATTCTGAATAGCTTAAATGAGAGGTATCAATAGCTCCCAATTATAAAGTATTTCTACTCCATACATCACCACATTATTTAACCCATAAGAACGTAACTCATTTTGACTTGAAAACTTTGTCCCAAAGGAAAATCTTGTGTCAGCATTTAATTCAATTTCACATATTTTGGCAGTCTCAGTCTGTTCACACCTTCTTCCCCATGGTGTGATTTATGTGCATAATTACACAGAAATTGCATAAGATTAGTTTTAATTAGTTTGGGCAACTTCCTGTGCCAGCAGCAGCAGTGGCAGCCAGAAATACTAAATAAATAACTTGGGCTGCAGTCGAGCCAAAAGCCAAGGGAAACTTCAACTTGTGTATCCGCAGTGGAAAGCTCGCAAGTACCCGCATCGGCATTAGGCAGTGCCTGAGGAGCATCCATCCTCCGAAGTGCATAGGGAAGAAACATTTGCTGAGGTGCAGGAACCTCTGAATTGCAGGAAGTAGCTGGAGCATGCAGGGGAACTACAGAAGAAAGTTTTTCGAGCGCCGCCCAAAAGCAGGCGGCGATTTCTTACTTGCGGTTGGTTGCTCCTCGTCTCTCTCTTTCTCTCTAAGCTACTGCTCCTGTTCCTCTTCTGACCAAATGTTCTCTCATTATTTTTCATTTGCATTGCGTCATTTGTACAGAAAGAGGAAGGCAGTTACAGGAGCTGGAGCAGCAGGAGGACCAGTACCAGTACCAGTAGCTGTGCCAGAACTCACTGTCTGCTTGGACTCTTAATTTAGGGCTGACCCCCTTTTTTGGGGTTCTCCATTTGTTTTAGTTCGTTCCTCTTGTTGCTGTTGCTGTCGCTGTTCGTTGATTGTCAAGGCGACCGCACGGCCGCGTTGCCCGGGAAACAACTAAAACAAATACAACAAAAGGCATAGCAGGGAAAATTTCCTCTGCTGCTGCCACATGTGTAAGGAGAATATGTATGTTAAGTGTTGTTTTTAATTGCCTGCATAAAAAATAAAGACATTAGCCATAAGGCGACTCCCATAACAATTGTTGCTTGGGGGAAAAATCCACCCCTGAAGTTGCAGAAACAAAAGGTATAGCCATGAATGTTTAAGGTTAATTTTCTCATGGAAGAGAGTTTTAGTAGAACCAAGAAAGGGCGCTTCGTGCTTTAAAGAAGAAAGTAAAAGAAAGAACTAAATAGAGTGTAGAAACTTAGACCCGTGACAGATTCTTTCGTGAAGTCTAAGAGTTTTTAGTGAACTAAAAATAAACCCTAGATCCCGTTTTATACAGCGAACTTTCTTCTATGGCAAATATTTTCTAAAGTTTTCCAAGACCTCCTTCTGCTTTGTCTTCCGGTTTGCTTCTTCGTCTTTTGCTCGTTGGAAGTGTAAACACTGCCACAAGCATTCTCCACAATTCTCCACAGTTATCCACATTCTGCAACCTGCTCTTGTGGCAAGCACAGCCACACACACCAAGTCACAAGGGACCCAACCCATACAATCCCACCATCCCTTCTTCAATCCACTTTGCTTTCTCGCTTTAAGTACCCCATGCATGGGGTGGAGGGGCTACTGCTGTTACTGCTGCACTTTTCGCCAACTTTTGTGCAAAACCCTCACGTACACAGCGTTGAAGCTGCAGCTGCAGCCTGCCTCTGTGTGTGTGTGTGTGTGTGTGGAACGTGTCGGCTGCCAATTGCATTGCGTAAGTGTGTGGGTCGTTGCTGGCTGCCACTCTCTGCCGCTCTGAAAGGAAGTGCTGAACCGACTGCCAAGTGGCCAACTCTCTGCCATAATCAAATTATTCCCATGCCCCGTGCCAAAGCCGAATTGTGTGTGTGTTGGCCACAGAGCTGGCTGACAGGCTTCAGGTGGCTTATCATGCGTTGTAATTAATTTGAGCTGCTCCAGCTGCTACTCACTCTGACCTCTGGCCTGAGCCACTGACCAAACCAGAACTGAGGCAACCCATTCGGTCTGCCCCAACACGTGTGCCACTTGATCAATTATGCAAACGAGTCGAGTGGCGGATTATTTCTTCTTTCGTTTCCATTAAGAATTGAACAAACCAAACGAACCGTGAAAATATGCCACAAAAAGATGCTTGTACCACGCGCACGTGCCAGGTGCTGATCCTGGGGCGTCTTCTGGATGATGTGCGAATGTTTTTTATGGCATACATTTCGGTGGCAATTGGCTGCAACTTTTAAAGCGATTTCGTGGTATCTCTACTCTCGAGGGGAGTTGTCTTGGGCATAAATCTATGAAACTATTTATGCCTTCATTATTTAGTTCCTTGCAATAAAGCCATGGGACTACTTTTCACCATAATCCAAGGATTCATTCAGCGATTACCGACTGCCGTAAATAATTGTTTAGACTAGAATTCCAATAAAAATTCAATTAGAATGAGGCCATAAATTATCTATTCCAAAGAGAATTAAAATATTTAATTAAATGTTCAGCATTCCCCTATTTATATTATGTTATACATCTCTTTAACATCACAAATATTCCGCTGAAATAACACAAATGCACCAACATGCAAGTATATCATTAAATTCCGGCATCTAATTAAAGTATTTTAAATTGCTTAAATGTGTTTTTGCCTTCTAAACGAAAATACCACTACAACCAGCAAAATTTGGCCTAATTTAAATGCAAGTGTTTCATTAAAATGAAAATTAAAACTCATTCTCCCGTACTCTCGTGGCAGCCACAAAGCAAAATCGAAAGCAAAACCACTTGCTGCAATCCCAGCTGCCGGACCACAAAAAGCAAACACGAAACCAGTACCAAACCCAAATGATATGCAGACCGACGGCCAGCCTGGTTTGGGGAGAACCCGGTGTACATGCGGTGGATCTAGATCCCTCATAAACATCCGCATTGGACTAGAGAGTTCCGTTTCGGGGCCTAATAGTACACCTGGTGCGCCTCCTAATGGGGGGCAGTGGCGAACACACACAGCAAATTCAATTTGTTCGTGGGGAAAATGGGAGAAGAGTGGCAGCCAGACTAGAGGAATCCAACCTCTAACCATCAGGCTAAAGGCCAGAAGCCTGGCCAGCGGATATCCGCTGAGCTGGGAGCTGGGAGCTGGGGCCAGAGCCTCATGCAATATGCAACAGCCTTCATTCCGCTTCCCAGTCGTTACACTCGGATCCGGGTCGCGTACAATTGAATTTTTGGGCAATTTCATACTCAGTGCCAATTCAAATTTTTAGGCCAAATATTTGGCTGCCCCTGGAGTTGGAAAACTATGAAATTAGATTAAATTCCAGTGGGGGTTAGGAATCGTAACTCGTAACGAATTTTAAATGCAATTTTTGGAATTTGAAGAGTCCATTAGGCGGAAACTGGTGCTCTATATATGCTGTATTTTATAATGGCTTTTAATGGAATACGACATTTTAAGGATTGCACGATATATGCTTTTGTATTTTAACTAATAAAGTCATCTCACTCTATCTCACACTCGCAGCTAAATCACTTTATCCCTCTACTGCATACTGTCTCATCTCTAGCACACACACTCTTAATCTCTCTCTACGTAGCTGAGCCATTTCTAAGTACTAGTACTATCTTACTACTAGTAACTATCGTAACTGTCTGTCGTCTTTGTCCTCCTGCTAACTCTTTTTCAAAACTCATGTTGTACATTTGTTTTCTTCTACTTCTTTTCTTTTTTTTAATATAGCTTTCAAGCTAAAAGTAGTCAAAGAAAGAGCAACAAAATCAAAATCAATAAACATAAAACTGTAAATTGGTAAAATACTCGCAAACAAAAAGCAAAGGCAAAAAAGTCGTGTTGTGTTGCCGCAACAACAAACAAAAAAACAACAACAACTACAAACAACAAGCAAAAACTACAACAAAAATAGAACAAGAAAAAGATAGAAACAACAACAACAATAACAAACATCTACTACAAGAACAAACGCCGCTAAGTAGATACAAATCATAGAAATTTCTTTTGTCGAGGCACCGCGCAAAGTTACATTTTGCATAGTAGACTTTTAGGCGCCGCACACTTAAAGCAAAACGAATTCAACAAAACACGAAACAGACAGACAGACAGAAAACAAAACCAACCATCCATCCGACAAGTTCAGCAAACATTCCAAGCAAAAACAAAAAGCAAACCACCATCGCCACCAAAGCCACAGCCACAGGCACCATCGCCGACACCACGAACCACAATATGAGCCTCAATAAGATCAAGAAGCGAGACTCGAGCGACTTATGACTGATGCGCTCAAAGGGCCATGGCCATGCCACCGTCAGTCTGGGCGCTGGCATTGGCAGCGGCAGTCGGTACAAGGTTACGTGTGTACCAGAAGTGAGCATCACATCGCCCACCAGTGGTGGCCTCCTCCATGAGGCACCATTGCCGCTGCCGAGTCCCATCTCGATCGCACAACAGCCACAGCCACAGCCACAGGCGGCACCACAGAGCAATGCGAAACACTTTGCGCTGCTGCAGCGCAGTCGCTCACAGCCACAGCCACAGTCATCGTCTAACAGCATTTTCTCCACGCCTTCAGGCATAGGCCCTGCTGTGGGCAGCGCCACTCTGGTCGAGGAGGAGGATTTCAGCTTGGCAGCGGCTAGTGTCAGCAGTGTGGCCGCCAAGAACGTGCTCCAGCGACAGTTGGCCACCACCACCATCGTTCATCATCAGCAGCAACAGCAGCAGCAGCAGGAGGATCTCGATTTGGATTTGGACAGCGATCGGGAACGGGAACCGCTGCAGAAGTTGCCGTTAACCTTGGAGGCATCGTGTGAGCCACCCAACGAGCTAACACCTCTGGTGGAGGAGGAGCCCAGCGCCAGTGCCGCTGCCGCCCAAGCCACAGGAGCATCCACGAGCAATCGCTATAGCCGCAACTCGAAGACCACACGCTCCTGGCCCGTCATCTATCGCAATCCGCACCACTGCGACTACGAGGCTTTGTACATACAGCAGCAGCAGCATCCCCAGGGATCGCAGAGCTTCAAGCAGAACTGCTACTCGAATCAGTTCAAGCAATCGATCGTCTACTCCAGCAGCAATGAGGAGGATCTGCCCGGCGGCGAGCAGCAGTTAACGGAGCCGAGGCAGACCACCTGCTACTATTTTGCACCCAGTCGCCACAACAGCATTTATGAGCATCCCTCGTCCGTGGTCGGTGGCTCCTTGCAGTTCGACGCAGGAAATTCGAGCGCTAACGCAGCTACATCCGCCGTTGCAGCGGCTGCCGTCGAGAGTCTGAGGCGCAGCAACAGCATCCTGTTGACGCAGAACAGCTGCGCGAAGGTAATCCAACGTCGTGGTAGCAACGGCAGTGGTTCCCCCACATCTCTGGCCTCACACATGGACGGCCTGGGCATGGGCAGTACGGCGGGAGGGAGTGCTTGCTGCTCCAGCTGCTGCATGGGTCCACCGCCGGTGCTGTTTCTCTTTGTCACCCTCCTGATGACCACCAGTGCCACGGCCATGCTGTGTGCCGCCATCATGACGGATCACTGGGAGCACGTCACATGGGATCGGAATAGTCTGGATCGTTACACAAATCGATCGGGTCTGCATCTGGAGTGGCTGCTGGAGGATCAGGTGGCCATGCTGAAGCCAGATAAAAGAGGTACGTACCCCAGTCCATCTATATCAGCTCTACTTTACCTATCTTTCCGGCTATCCTCCAGCCGATCATCGCTTTCGTCGCGACTCTGTATTCCTGGTGCCCATGCATGGTGGCATATGGACTCTGTGCATCGATCTGCCCATCCAGCAGCTGCAGGAACTGCGACGCAATCCGAAATTCCCACGTGGAGCCCCGCCATGCGTCAACTATCTGGCGGGATCCATGGAGAATGCACGCGGGGAGGAGCAGCGCAACGATTGGCAGCACAGTGAGTCACAGGTCACTCTGCAGCCGCATCTGAGTACGTATCTGGTGGTGGGGGACCAATTCCCAATCCATCCTGAATCCAAGTCCAATCTCTCTATACCTCTCCATTTGTTCCATTTGTTTAATACAAAACATTTGTTTATTTTTACGCACTTCTTACGCACTAAATTGTGATTGTAACCTTACAGAGACTTATAGAGAATTTTGGTAGAAAAAACAGCAAACATAGAGCATAAATAGGATCATAGTAGGGAGGGGCAAAGAGCATGGGGACAGTTGTGTTTGTGTTTTATAAAATGCAAGTGTGTGTGATAAAAAGGTGTTCTTTCATGGGTTTGGTTGTGGGGGTTTAAGTAGCTGATGTATGGGGGGTGATTGAGTGTGTGCCACTGGAATGTGCCGCTGTTTTTTCTACAAGGCGGGACGCTTGGCCGGCGAGCAGAGGGCCTCGGCCTCAGAGCCAGGCTCCTCGGGCTTCTTGCGCTTAATCAAATGCGTTATATCGGTGGGCTTGGCGGTGGAACTGCTGCTAATGGTCGACGAGGACGATGTGGCAGCAACAGCACCAGAAGTAACAGCAGCAGCACTGGACGATGAGGACGATGATGGAGAGCTGGCTGCCCCATTGGTGGATGAAGAGGCAGCAGCATCATTGTTGCCGCCGCCTCCACTGCTGCTACTGCCACTGCCCATTGGCTTGATGTAGCTATCCAAAGCAGCACGCACCTCGGCGATGGTCTGCAAATTGGTTTTAAATTAATAATAACACGGGGAAAGGAATAAGATTTCCCTTACCTGAGCCTGCATCTCTTCAATTTCCTGTATTTTAGCCAGTATCTCCTGCTTGGTCTCCTCCAAGTCCAACATATTGTTTTTCTCGCGCTCACTCAACGGCTCCTCTTTGCCCTTGATCTCTGTTATTTCCTCTTCAATCAAGGCACTGGAGAGGCGCAGCGAGGCGGCTCCCTCCTTGTTCTGCTGTGCCATCAAAAATGTCAGCCCAATCTTGTAGTGTAGCTCGGCGAGTGCGCGGCGATTCTTGGTTGGTAGGTCGCTCAGAATTAAGAGTGCTTTCTCTGGAAAATGCAATGGAAATACAACGAGTTAGTAAATAAAGTAAGTTTGCTCAAGGATTACTCACCGTAATCTTCACGTGCCGCCTCAAGGATTCCATTCTCAAATTCAATGTTTGCCAATTCCGTTTGAACCTCCGCCAAGTACGGGAGTCCATTGAGGCCCTGGCGCAAAAAGATTTTGGCAGCTGCCTCTAAGATCTCCCAGGCCAGTTGCAGGCTGCCACTGACGCCCTCTTCGATCTCCTCCTCATCCTCTACGCCAGCTACAGCTGCTGCTCCATTACTGGGACTGGCTGCAGCCTCACCATTCGAGGTGCTGGGACGCTCATCATCATTGACCGAGGCACCGCCATTGCTGCTGCTAACTTCTTCGACGCCAGTGGATGCCTTCTTGGCATTCTTCTCATCTGTTGCGGCATCTACAGTGGAATCGGCTTCATCGGTTTCCTCCTTGATGTTTTCCAACGCTTTGCCATTTGTGCTGCTGGCGCCATTGGATTCCTTCTTGGATGGGGCGGCTTCCTCCTTCTTCTCCTTCTCTCCAGCTTCCTTGGCCTCTCCACCTTCCTTCTTGGCCTCTCCAGCTTTATCTGCCTCGTCCCCAGCTTCTTCATCATCGTCCATATCCTCATCATCGTCATCGGCTGCCTCATCGGGCACATCAATCACTTTGTTCTCATCCAGAGCCATGGCAATCAGCGCCTTGGCATATCTACACGGAAGGACCAAGCATACAAGATTAATAAAGCTACAACCGTTCTCCATCGTCTGCCGCACACTCACAGCAGCAGGGGCTGGCCTAATTCATCGGCCAGCTCTCCGTAAACCTCCTCGTACAGCTGGCACACCTGGCTCAATTCATCAGCGGCCTCGTCGTAGCTCTTGACCAGAAAGTTACGCGATCCCTGGCTAAACAGCTCCTTTCCCTTGAGTATCTTTTCGGCTCGCTCTTGTTCTACTTTGCCGTTTCCCTCGGAGGCACCATCTGTGGCCACGGGCACAGCCTTGTCGGGTGTGGTGTCTGCATCGACGGCGGCTACTTTCTTGATTGTTGTCGGTGATGTGGTGGCATCGGCAGCGGCCGTTGTGACAATTGCTTCAGCTTCAGCAGACATATTGAAATATTGAATGCAGCAGAGAGTAGAGATAAATCTGGGGAATAGAGATAGAAGATAGGATTAGCTGGCTTTGTTTTCCTTGATTTATCCCAGGAGTATTATCCTAATTTTGTAGTCCCCTCCTTCATTCCCTTAAACCCTAAACAACATTTGTAGGTTGTGTGCCCTAGACGTCACTTTCGATGTATGTAGAAGACCACCACTAAATGTTTGTTCACTCTTTAAAACATACAATTTTGAATGTCATTCTCACATTACTCAAACGCTTCCGCTTTCGCATCGCTTTCTTGAACCTTTCCACCATTCATTCTGGCTTAAAATGTTGGCTCCAAGCTGTCGCACATTTCACAAGTAATTACCACAAATCCCATTTCCCATAGAGCAGAGTAGAGCAGATAAAAATTAAAAGCAAAGACAACTGCAAATACCCAGAGGAGGAGCATAACCGAATGTGTCCTGTGTCCTTGTATTGGCACCGTCTACTATATAAAGTAATTGCCACAAAAGTTAACTGAGTTTGCCTTCGGTTTCCTATATTGCCATATCGACTCCCTGGCGCTCTCCCGACCAACCCACAACAGATGAAAAATATCCGTGTCGATAGTTGCATGCCCGGTGGCAGCAAACGGTGAACCAGTGGAACAGCAAGTGTCAGAGCAGCAATGGGTGGCACTGGGAGAGAGGTGCAGAAAGTGGGGGCCCCGGAGGTAGAGGTGTAGCAAGTGTTTGGGGAAATATAGGTCACCAAGTGGTGTGGTTCAACTACCTTTTTGCCTCCCATTCCTACCCTGCATGCGTTCAAAAAATCGCATTTGCCACTTTTCCCAGCCTTTTTATGGTTCCGTGGGAACTGCCACCACCACACATATATGATTTAATTGCTGTTAGTGTCGGAAAAAGTGCCTTCTATTGGGTAATTGGTTCTAAACGTTTGTGTGTGTGTGGAAATACAAAAAGTTCCATTTTATGTATGGCCACAAATTAATTTAAGGTCTATAAAAAATCATTTTTAACCATAATAGGAAAACGATTCAGAGAAAAACAAGATTTGAGGTGGCAAACATTTGGGGTTAATAGTAACAATTAAGACTATTAATTAAGCAGAGCCAGATTATTTTCCATTCACTTGGGTAAGAAAATCCCTTTTAAGACATCATTCCATCATCCTAGATCTCTGCGTTTGCCTTTGCCAATCAATCTTTTGCACTTGTACTTGCACGTACACTATAATCTACAGAGTTAAGCAGCTTCTTAATATATCTAATCCATGGAAGGAATGGTTAATCTAAGTGAAACATATCCGTCTTATAGGAATGCAAAATCTCTCCATATCCTGCTCATTGGTGTGCCTCATTATTTTGGGCAGTGCCGCTTTGGTTGGAGCCTTTGGCGTCTGCCAGCGTCAGATTAGTGCAATCCTCATCACAGGTGTGATGTATCTCCTGGCAGGTGAGTCCTTGGAGATGTCTTATCCACTCAAACGTTGATAAATCGAATACTTTCAGCTCTCTTTGCACTCTTCACGCTGATGATCATCCACTTTAAGCGACAGCAGGGACGACCTATGCTGGACAGCGACTATGATGGCACTGTGGATGGCATTGTGGCACGCCCCGGGGGAGTGGCCATCATGGCCAAGCCTCTGCTGGGCGCACGCATATTCCTAACTTCCTGGAGCCTTGACTTGGGCTGGGGCGGCGTTGTACTGTGCGCCATCACATCGGTGCTGTGGATTTTGCTGTCAAAGATCATGCGGTATAACCCATTTTCGGCCTTAATGATTTAGCTAAACGCCCTGCCGCTCGGCGGCTATGGATATGCCGGCAGCAGCTATGGCAGCTACGGCAGCACCAATAGCACCAGCAGCGGTGGCAGCTCCAGTTTCCTTCTGGCAGCCGTCACCTCGTCGCAGCGGCAAAAGGAGCATCGTGGGGGCAAGGGTAAATACATTCTGTAGAGTGTGTGTTCTGCCCCCCGGCTTCAACCTAACTGTCTTTGTTTCCATCTATTGGTGTAATTTATTATCAAACTTATTTATAATCGTTCTTCAATGAGTGCTCTTATTCCCTAATCTTATATTAATGTACCAAGCAAACAAAAACTCAATTGCCTTGTTCTTATACACAACTTACTCTATAAAACATTATTGTGAACAATTATTGTACTTTAACCAGAATGTAAATTCAATTTACACTCTCTCTTTAAAACTTAACCCACTTACCCCTTTTTGTATTCTACACGATTCTACACGACACCAGAACTAAAACTACAACTACTTATAATCTATAACTAACTTTAAAAGCATATGTAAACTGTGAGACATTTATTTACACGACAACAAAAAACAGAGGCTTTTGCTTTAAAGTGCTTTCTAGTAAAAAGATTCGCTTGCAATAGCGTTAACCAAATCGAAAGTAGAGAATTATCTGTTCAGTGTGTGGCATTTGATTAAAATATTCCCAATTGATTGGAAGAAAACTTCAATTTAGCAATAATCTAATGGAGAAACAAGCAGTTGAAAGCTAGGAAAACGGCTTGGAAAGTACACCCTGTATAAAACTGCTTTTACTGCTTACAACTGTTGCTGCAGCTAGAAGGAGAAGCAACTAGTGCCCCATACTGCTTGTAACAATTTGAAACTGCTTTAATACTTTAATGCTTTCCGTCGGTTGGAAGGATTTTAAAAGAGTGTCACAACAGAATGAACGAAACTTCACACGAATTGTAGAACTAGACGGCTACTTAGAGCTCCTACTTGGAGTACAGTTGTACACAAAAAGTAGGGTACGCTTTGAAGCAACAAATGTATTGAGAACATCTAGTGCTTTAGAAAAAATGGTTTACAAAACTTATTGTATAGAAACAAAACATCAAAAACCAAAACAAGAGATGCTACAAGTATAAATATGGACAACAAGTGTATTTTTATGCAAACGCTTTGCCTTAAAACAAAACACAACACAAAGAATGTAAGAAAATTATTTAAATACAAGAAAAATACTTTCTTTTAAAAAGTTTACAGGAAATGTGTGAAATGTTTTGGAAGGGTTTACCTAGAGAGTGGAGCGGACGGATGACTACATTCTATAAATAGCAGATCGACAGATCATTTATGCCATTTTATGTGGCATGCACATATTCACATTTTTGGTAAAACATTTTATTGCAAATTTCAGTTGGCAGGCGGCAGGTTCATTAACATTTGCAAAAAAAGCTGCTGTGGAAACAAATTAAACAAACATGCAAATGAACTCGCACGAAAAAGACAAAAAAAATGTGTAAGAAATACCAGCAGGAAGGAGGAAGGGTATGTTCGCAAGCGAATCTTTGAATGCCCTAAAAGATCCATTGTTTCTTGTGCCTTTTTGTGCAATCAACACTGTCAAATCTATAAAGAATATCCTTAATTTTTGTATACTTTGAAATTTCCTGGTAAGATTATACAAGAGCCTGGAAGGGTATACAAAAATCGGCACTTTGCTGAGGAAGAAAGAGAAGGGACGAGAGCGAGCGAGATCAATAGCTAACTCGTGTGCAAATGCAGCTGCAAAGTCAGAGGAACAGAGAATCCAGAGCCAGGGGCGGCAAATTGAAAACAATGCGAGAAAAAAGCAAATGAGGAGAAAAGAAAAACGCCATGTGTGGGTTTTGTTTGCGCGCGCTCTCAAAACAATTACAAAATTCGCACACAACTACAGAAAACAGCAACAATTTGAGATTACAAAACAACGCAAAAAAGTTCATTCACCTGTATGTGCGCTGTGTCTGTATTTGTGTGCCGTTTCACGCGGCGTTTATGCGTTCGCTGGTGTCCGTTGTAAGAACAACTCTGATAAAATATTTGCACAAATGGCACAGAAGGCCCCCATAATGATCATATTATCTTATACTACATCCAAATCCAAAGTCGCATAAACGTAAACCACTATCTGCACAAACGCCAGTGTGTGTGTGTGTGTGTGTAATTGCCCGCCATTCGCCCGCGCCAACAAACACACTAATACCGGCAAGAAAAAAGCAACGCAATTGCCCATTAAATTAAAGCAAATGCCGACAGCACGTTTCACATATTTATAGCGAAACAGAAATTGCGACAATTAATTAATGTTTAGCACATACAACATATTACCTACAACAACAACAAAAGCACGAGCCAGGCCAAAATGAAATTCGCAATTTCGCTTGTCGCTTAGCCAGTATGTGTGCGAGTCAATGTGCGTGTGTGTGCATCGGCATTTAGCAACCGAAATTGGGGGAAAAACTTACCAATTCTTGGATTAATTCCACTGTTTATACGCAGAACGTATTCTCTTAGTTGATGGTCTTCAAAATTGTACACAAAAAACACTTTAATAGCACGTAAAGTTTGAAAAATTGCAACAAATAGGATCGAGCAACGCACAATCAGTGTGACCGCAGATTTATCGAGAAAATATACCGTCTGTTCCTTAGAAAGATACTGAAATATACCTAATACATACCATAAATATACCTAGAGCTTAACCCTCATAGCCCCGCTTTTTAAAAAGAACAAATTAACTTAACGTTCTGCCAGCACCCGCTAGGTGGCGGTGGACTGTCTCTCTGCTGACCTAATCCTCTCTTCGGCATGTGACCGCAAGGTATGGCATGTAGGTAAAAAAGGACGAACATTTCAAAGCTCCCCCCTTTTTCGCACCTGTTGAAAGGATCCTTATAGTGCATGCGAGAGCGTCTGGCAGGAGAGAATTTCCCTGAACGTTAAGACACAGGAGAGGATTTCTGGGATAAAACGCCGTGTAATTTACCTGGCGCCACTGGAATTTTTGTGACTTATTTTCCTGTCGTCGACACCTTTATTTGTGGTACAAATTTCGCAGCTTGCATCGTTAAGGGAGTTTCTCTTCCTTGCTAAGGGAGTTCGAATAGCTAATGAGACAACCATATATAAACTAAAATATGTATTAATATTGGACTTTAGACAATATATGGATTATAGTATTTATTTATTTATGTATGTAAGTATGTTCAATTAAGAATTAATTAATATTATAATAAATATTTTATAAATGTATGTACATAATTATTTATATAAATATAAATTAAATTAAACGAATATAATATTAATTAAATACAATTTACAAAATAAAATTTTAAATACAATTTAATTTTATATTGGATTATGGTAAAAGTAATCCTAAATATTGGTTCATGTGTGGAAGTACGGGTTGGGGGTTGTTCTGCACTATGGACAACTTTTGTTGTCCTAAATTAATAACTCGCGAACGAAATAAGATATTTTGATTTAGTTTTTGTATATTAGTTAAGAATAGCAAGGGGCATGTTTTTTGAGAAAATGGGCGTAGTACCGCCTTTTTTTTACGAAAAATCGGTTTTTATTTATTTTTTTTCAAAATGTTAGAAGAAAAATAGGAATGGGAATATGTTTATCAGTGCAAGATTCTATAAAATAAAGCTTAAAAATCCAAGATATTCTAAGTTTTTGTCCCACAAAGCATTCTCCATAAGAGTTTTCATTATATAAGAATATTACACTGGATATCAAACTCTAGCCATCCACAATAGCTAGTGACTTATACTGTGGCTTAAATGCAATGCAAAATGGCACCCTACTTCACAATTTTCTTCTTCATTGTGTTCCAAACGGCAAAAAAACATTGAAATTTCTCATTTGAGAGTACATCGATTGAAAGGTGGCATAAATAAATAAATAAAATAAATAAAGAAATTTCTTTTTTATCCTGTAAATTAATGGAAGAAGGAAGGAAATGTTTACCACATTGGGAAAGATATAGGTTGTAACATTTCTTATTGACAGTAAGAAATTGAGAGCGAGCAAAAGAATATTGAGCAAAGACAGACAAAGAACCAATTATCTGGTACTTCGTAAAGGCGGACTTTTTAAAGTAGGACAGATACTTGGAAAACCAGAAGGTTGAAGAGTTTACCTTAAAAACTGCCCACGAAATGATATTGGATGGAGAAATGCTTCCTTAGTTTTTTGAAATCTTAGGGACAGTAAGTATAGATTTCTGGAATTAAATTTACTTATAATAAAGTCATCAGGTGGCGAAAAAGATAAGAGCTTAGGTGGCTTCTGGTATAAGACGAGATACAAAGATTGCTTTGCGGGGGATCCCGAGTGGACCACCACCCCTAGTGGAACTCCAGAAAAGCGAGCTGGTGATCCTGTGTTCCTTAGCAAAAGAAAGGAGTAATTCCAATGTATAAGCCGGAGTCTAGCCCCAAATATGTTGTAAGGATAGAAGAACTTCCCCCAAACCATTCCGAGCTTATTATATTATTAACCTATGTTCCCTTTCCTTTTCAAGATAACAATAGAATTTATTTTTCTCTTTTGTTGTGCGCTCTATTTTTCAAATTGTTCAATGTTTTCGGTTAATATACATGTCTCTTTTAATAATTTACATACATTTATATACTGAAGACAAAGCTCCCGTGCTTCCTGAGGGGGTGATTTGAATGAACAATTCAAATAAAAATGTGTAAAATATAAGGTCATAAGGTATACAATCCAATAAAAAGTAGTATTTATAATAAGCCAAATTGATTCTTCAAACGGATTCAATTATTTTTTTAGTGTTAACAGTCTTTGCAAGGTAGCAAAATCAAATAGAACATCAAAATCGAGGAATATTATTTCAGACTAGGCTATATTTTTAAAATGAGAAGGTATATTTTATCGATAGTTCCGCCGGAAACTAGGGCTGGGACAACAACGATAGTGAATATAGTATAGTTATCCCAGATAACACTAGTAACAATAGCTAAATATTTAGGACTGAAAATAGTTCCTCATCTGTTTTTGCAGAGCTTGTAGGAGTGGTACAGTAAAGATATCTAACACAATAGGATACAGTAAAACTTTAATTCTCTGTCAAGGCGCCTTAAAGGCTCTGAAGAGCAATGAATCTAATTCACACTTACCAGACGAAATCCACCTCAACATGGACAATTGCTTCACCAGCAACTTTATTGTGCACTGGATATCCGGTCACAAGAACATTGGAATTAATGAAAAGACTGATACTTAATTTACCTCTCACCTTCGAGAAAATTTAAAATAAAAGTTCCGATTGATTGCAATCCTTCTATCCAATTTTCAAAAAGAGCCTCTTATTAGGAAAATGGCCAAATTTATTAATGGTGCTCATTTGGAGTTGTGAATCGAAACACTAAATTAATTCAGGTCGGGTTACTCGGTGCCATCAGAACTCATCTTGAGGAGCAACCTTCTGTTCTTTCTACTTTCTGTGGCAGCCTTCTGCTGCCTTTGCACCTACACCTAAACTTAGACATCAATCCATTAAATGTTATTTTACTACTTTATAATTTGTTAAACTCTTGCACACGACACGAATTATATTGCTTACATAATAACATTTCCAATCCAATACCTTGCATGCCCTCATCAACAGTCATCGATAGCAACACTCATCAACAAATATCGACAGCAACACCGAACCTTTTCAAGAAATATCGACAGCCCCATCGCCGAACCAAAGTACATGGTCAATGCGGATTCATCGTCGTGCGACCAAGCTAAACCGAAAGTACCGCAAGACCCCTGAAAGTACCGTATGAGACAGGTTGGAATATTTGAAAACTCGTAAAATTTGTTCCAAGCGGTCGAGCTTTTGGACGCGCGTATTTGAATTGACAAGTGCAGTGCATAAAAATATAACTGAAAATTAGGCAAAGCATTGAAATTCCAGTCAAAACATGCTTCAGAGCTAAAGTTTCATAAACAACCCTTCGTTATTGTTAAATATTTATACACACCACCGCCCGACCGCCGATTCCCTCCCACGAAACGCACGCACGCACATTACGTGTGGCGCCAATAACAAAAACAACATACACATGTAAAGGGAGAAGGCAGCAGCGATAACGAAACAAACGCAACAACAATAACTAAAATTATAGTAAGTGAATTCCGTCTGTTGCTTTTTTTCTTGCTTTTGCTATTGATTTTTGTGTCGAGTCGATTTTGGCCCCATATGTTTTTGCCGCCTTTTGTCGCTTTTTGTTTTGTTCATGCCTTTTTGAGCGTGTTTGTGTGTGTGGTGTGCTTTAGTATTTCCTTCTTAGATTGAGTCCTCAAAGAGCGTGCGAGAGGGAGAGGGAGTGCGTGTGTTGATTCACCTGCCGAGGTAAATACCTTTATGAAGCCCTTACAAAGGCTATTCCGAGTTTCAGTTAGTGTTTGCAACGCAAAGAAAAAGGGAAACTGTGTTGTTTCCACAGAAAATCGAATCGAAATAAGGCATTATCATAGTTTAATATATTTACTTCGTAGATTCAAACAATTGAAATCCAATCCGTACAAACAAACCTATGTTCGCTGGAACTCAAAGGGTATCAAAAGCTTCGTCTTGGCATTTCTGTATGTCTGCCAGCCTCTCAGCTGCTGCTGCGACGAACAACAACAACAACCGTAACGCACGATAAAGACGCAGCAGCTTTCGTTATGGCAGAGCAATAACCGGTTTTTACCTTTATCGAATTTCGAAACTGTGCTAATAACTTTTTCGCTGTTTGCTGTTGTTGTGTTCGTTGTAGTTGTTGTTATTTTTGGCTTTTCGTAAACAATTAAAGAAAACTAATCGGGTGCCAAAGAGCGATAATTTCACAAAAGAGCTGCAGTTGCAAATTAATCTATTTTTCGCAACTGTTTCTACTGGCAGACACAGGAAGTGCAAGTATATTTTGCAAACAACCCAAAAACTTTGCCACTCAAAACGTCACTCCATTGCCAAGCTTTTTTCTACCTCTGCCTGCAAGTAATGGAAGCTTCTTCTTTTCATCTCCCTCTCTCTATAGCACCCACTACTCTGGCACGACATAACGGCACTATAGGCCATTGTGTGGGGAGGGGTAAAGTAAGTGCAGCAGCAATCATTTTCTTTGAACATAAGCTCCTGCCTGCACACCGCCACTGCGGCTCCAAGGATAACACGTTCGTCATGCCGCAAAATCGATTTTCAACAAAGACCGACAATACCTTGGAGAATCCATGCCTCCTCCTCCCCCTGCTCTGTCCCATTCCTGGCACGTGATGTGGCGCATGGCCCGGGAATGAAAATGGGAACTTTCAACCCGTCGTCTGTCGTCTGTTATGTTGCGTAAAAATTGCGGTAAAAACTGACGCAGGGGGAAATCAGCCGGAAATAAACTGTAAATTAAAGGGGACACTTTTTTGGGGCGACGTTTTTGTGGGCTGACAACCACTTTGTCCACAAGATAAAATCCAAAGATAACTTTATCAAGAAGGTTTTGCCTATGAATCCGGAGCATATTCGCTGTCTTGTGCTTCTGTTGTAATAGGAAATGAATATCGTTGTTTTGCTGCACAAATTTCCCCTAAGAATTAATGAAAGGGCCAGTAACACTATCAA